CCCAAGCGTCCCCATTTGGGGGTTTTGTATGTTTTGAGAGGCATCTTCAAACAAAAGACTGGCCTTTACCTCCATTTTTATGAATTATAAACAACTTCATTGGTGGTGAGCAGCTGCAGGGCAGAGCTCTAGGGAAGCTTCTGAATCTCCTGTGTGATCCTCCCCATGCCCGCTGTCTGCTGACTGGCCCTCTGGGGTGGCACTCAACGCCAGAACACGTCCGTGCCTACTTTCCGCTCACCCTTGTGGCTCTGGGCCCAGCCATCAGGAGGGGTCTATGAGTAAAAGCATATCCTCTGTGTGCACTGCAGATTTGATTGTATTTAATCTCCCAAGCATCCCTTTGAAATATCATTCTCATTTTAGAAAGATGACATTGAGGCTCAGAGGTGACAAAGTGACTCGTCTGAGTTCATGTAGCTGTAAATGGTACCACAAGGCCTTAAACTCGGGACTTTTGCCTCCATCCTCTATGTCACAGATGCCTCAACATGTGGTTCATTTACATGAAGCAATATTTGTGGTCATGAATCTTCATATTAAACGTACATTGTTTTTGCTCAATGTTCTTATTTTATGGTTCGCAAAAGAAACAAACAAAACAACAACAAGAAAAACCCTAAATCCTGTCTGGCTGAAACTGCAGTCTTTAATCTTCCTAAAGACAATAAGCAGGACTGGGGCCCCCATAACAAGGTGCTAGCCAACCAGGAAGGAAGCTGGGGAAGGAAGCCTTCCTCTCAGCAGGTAATTGATTCCTAACACTCTAGGTAGCAGCGATCTTGGAGGCTCCAGGGAAAGGTACCTGCTCTTTCTCCTCCGCCCCCAGGGGAAAGTGCACAAAGCCTTTCGTCTCCCCACTCCCTTAGAATTAGCCAGTTAGGGGCCCTGTGTGTCCAGGGAGCCAGACCTGAACATATGTAAATGAACCAAAGGCAGGAGGATGGCTCAGAAGAAAAACACGTGTTAAGATTATGATTTGCGAGGCCTGAGCGGCTGCCTTCGGCTCAGGGAGTGGTCCCGGGTTCCGGGATCGAGTCCCACATCAGGCCCCTTGTGGGGCACCTGCTTCTCCCTCTGCCTGTGTGTCTGCCTCTCTCTCCCTCTGTCTCTCATGAATAAATAAATAAAATCTTAAAAAAAAAAAAAAAGTGGGCGGCCCAGGTGGCTTATCGGTTTAGCACTGCCTTCAGCCCAGGGTGTGATCCTGCAGACCCAGGATCCAGTCCCATGTCGGGCTCCCTGCATGGAGCCTGCTTCTCCCTCTATCTATGTCTCTGCCTCTCTCTCTCTCTGTGTCTCTCATGAATAAATTAAAAAATATTTTTTAAAAAGATTATCATGATTTATGTGCTCCCAAGTTTAATAATCTTAAAAATCTAAGAATGACAAAATAACCCTAAAGGAGGGCAATTAATTTTAAAACACAAAGTTTAGAAAACCAAATTTATCAGGCTTAGGAGCCAGAAGGAAAGAAGATTTAAGAGGTAAGAAGTCTGGGAAAACCTAGGTTCTGCTTCTGAGCCTGTGCCCTGGGGCAAGACACCGAGCACAGAGGTCTAAGGAGGGTGTGGGACCACAAGGCCACCGAGTGCTGGGGCCTTCCTGGGGAGGGAATGCTACTAACCAGCATCTTAATCAGACCTTCCTGGCCTTTGCAGGAAGATAACTGACGCTAAAAATTAGACTCCCATGGCACTAGAGAAGCAGGGAAATGAAGTCTTAAGTGAAAAAGAACAGGCGGGGGATCTAAGTTGAGGGTTAGGCATTTCATGGAACTTCCAGGACAAGCACAGCAGCTGACATATAGCGGTATTTAATAAATGAACGGGTGACAGGTGGGTGGACTGATGGAAGGTCAGTCCTTTCCCAGGGGTGATGGACCTGGGGGCAGAGAAACCAGTGGTTGAGTCCTGATCCACACCAACACAGTGATGGAGGCGAAACTATAAGCCTCAACTTCTTCCTGTGTAAAAGGGGAAATGACAAGTCACAGGGCAATGAGGGTTAAGTGAGAAAAAGCTTTGTTCAGAGCCTAACTATGGAAGCACACAATCTTGTGATCATATCCTCCACTCTGAAGACTTCACTGAGGAACAAGGAGGCTCCAGAGGCAAGAAGTATGCCGGTAGAAAACTTGTTCGATTTTCCAGATTTCTGCTGGATGCTGCACCTCGTCTCTGGGAGCAGGCCCTCTTTCTCCTGGGACCCATGATGAGCTCAAGATGAAGCCCAGAAGTTAGGCGGGCTCTCTGCGCCCCAGTTTCAGCCTCCTCTGCACAGAAACCCTGTGCAGCTGGGAGAAATGGACCCAGACTGGAGAACAGCAGGTGGGGATGCTGTCACTGTGGGATGGGAGGGTAGGGGTAAGGGAAGAGGTGACCTGGGTGCGAGTCCCGGGACCTTTCAGGGAAGTCTGGGTGTTGCCCTGGAAAGCCTCAGCTCTTTTAGGATCCCCAGGCCACACCTGGCCACCCATTTGTGTGCCTCTGAGGCATTTGCACAGGGAGGTTTGTTGAAGACGGCTGACTTTCATACAGTCTGGAAAACAAGAGATCTTTCTGGCAACCCATGAGGATTCTCCTCATTCTGAATGGTTTCTGGTGTAGGAAGGAGAGCTTTCTTTCTTTCTTTCTTTCTTTCTTTCTTTTTTTTTTTTTTTTTTTTGAAGGAGAGATTTCTAATGTTAGATTTCTCCGGGGCCATCTAACACCCCCCCCCCCCAGTTTAGCTAAAATTGATGCAGACGGGAAAGTATTAGTGTGCGTGTGCCTGCTAGCGTGTAACCCTTTAGGGAGTGTGCCCGGAGGGGGCAACGGGAGCTCCGGGCGGCTCCGAGAGCGCTGAGCGCCCCTTTGTCAGGTAGGGTTTCCGCGCCAGGGCGAATCGGTTGGGCCCACAAGAGCTCATTCGAGGACGCAGCAAATTTCCCTTTTTTTTTTTTTTTTCTAATTGAGAAGCAGCCAATCGTCCCTAGCCACTCCCCGCCGAAGGTTTGAGGAGACAGACTTCAAACACAACGTCCTCCAGCCTCGTCTGGGTTCCCCGAGGCCGGATTTCCGCAGGCGGGGCGGGGCGGGGCGGGGCGCGCGGGACCCCGCGTGGGGTGCGGCTCTCGCGGCCGGGCCCAGCGCCCCGGGGTGCTGGCGCGCCGCGGGGGCCCCGTGCTCTCCTTGCTTTGGTCTCCGCCAGTGCCCCCGGGCGGGGGGGAGGAGGGAGACGGTCGTAGGCGTTAATAAGCCGAATGGGCGACCACCGGAGACGGAAATCGCTAATTACTAGGTCCTCTCTGATCTCCCCGAGCCGTTTGGCTCCCGACCCGGGGGGCCCCGGCGTCTACGCCGCGGGAGGACTGTGCCGGGCTCGCGTGGCCGGAGCCGTAGGGCCGGACGCCGGGTCTGCGGTTTCACGTGTGCGCGGAGGTCTGGATCGCGCTTGCATTCATTCATTCATTCATTCATTCATTCATTCATTCATTCATGATAGACATAGAGAGGCAGAGACCCAGGCAGAGGGAGAAGCAGGCTCCATGCACCGGGAGCCCGACGCGGGTCTCGATCCCGGGCCTCCAGGATCGCGCCCTGGGCCGAAGGCAGGCGCCAAACCGCTGAGCCGCCCAGGGACCCCCTGGATCGCGCTTTTAAACGTTTCCGCCGACTCCCCGGGTTTTCTCTCCCGCGGCCCGAAGTTTACAAACGCTCATGGGCGGGGCTGCTGGGTTAACAGCAGCGACTCCGCGGCTCTGCGCTTTAAATTTGGGGAAATAAACTATTTATAATTGCCAATGCGCCGCCTGCCCCCCCCCCTCCTCCATCCTCTGCTTTCGATTCGTTTGCGGGAGACGGGAGTCTTCTTGTCTTCGCCGGGACTGTGGTGCGATTCGGGATCGTTTGTGAAATGAACAATAGTCACGGGCAAGCGGGGGGACTGGGGCGGATGGCGGACCCGGGGTGGGAGCGAAGGGCTGGCGTCCGAGGAGAACTGGCAGGCAGCCTCCCCCCCGGTCTCCAGGGTCCCCTTCATCCCCCAGGTAAGATGAATGGCCCTTCATCCATCATGCACAGTCAGCCTCCTCCCCCGGGCGGGCGGAGAAGCTGCTTTCCGAGGAGACCTATTAGCTCCGAATTGGGCAGCTTTGTGGAGCCACCCGGGGCTCCCCATTGTGGTCTTTGTCTGCGGAGTTTAAGCATTTACATCCTGCGTCAGCCCCGAACCCCGCGCGGGGTCGGGACGCCGCGTGCCGAGCGGGGCGGGACCTGCTGCAGCTCGCTCGGCGGCGCCCGGGCACCGCGGCCACCTCCGGGCGGCGGCGCTTTGCAAGTGGCAGAGTCTGGGAGCGTGAAGCCCCGCTCGTCCCTCTGACCCCGAAGCTCGGGGAATAAACGGCGTTAATCCGGCTTTTCCAGGCGGTCGTTGGGGGCTTCGCCAGTTTTCAAACGACCGTTGGGAGCCGCGCGCGCTCAACGGTCACTGGCGCGCCCGAGCGCAGAGGCGCCGCGGGTCCAGTCGCGGGAGCGGGACACGGGGACACGGGGACGCGCGGGGCGCCTGGCAGCCCCGGGCCTCGGGGCAAGTCCAGGGGAGGACGGCGCGCGGCCGCACGGGAGCGGGGAGGACGGGGGCCTAGGTCCCCGGGGAATCCGCGAAGGCGGGCGCGGGCCTTGGAGGTGCGCGCGCCTCGCAGAGTAAATGCAAACACTCTGGAAAGCCCTGGGTACCCGGCCTTCGGGGGGAGGTGGTGCGGCCCGGGACTGGCCCCCGGGGACTCCCACGCTGCCCAGAAGGCGCCCCCGTCCGGACAGGTGCGGGGGCTTCCGTGCGGCCGCCCGCAGGGTGGGAGGCCTTCGCGGGCGAGCGGCCGAGGGCAGCGGCGTCCCCCCGGGCTCCGGGGCTCCGGGCCCGCGCGCCCCGCGGGGGAGCAGCGCTCGCCGCGGGCGCCCAATCAGCGCTGCCGCCGCGGCCGTGACGGCCTCGGCCCCGCCCCCCGGCTGCGCTAAAAGGCCCCCGAGGCCGCCCGGTCGCCCAGCTCCGCGCGGCCCTGCGCCCCGGCCCGGCCCCAGGTGCGTTCCGCCGCCGCCGCCGCGCGCCGCGCCCGCCCCCCGGCCCCGTCCTCCCCGCTCCCGGTGCGGGGCGCCCAGACCAGTGTCCAGGCTTCCCCCCTTCCCTCGGTGCCCCCGGGGCCCCGGGCCCCCGTCCTCTGCGCTCCCGGTGCGGGGCGCCCAGACCAGTGTCCGGGCTTCCCCCCCTTCCCTCGGTGCTGCCCCCCCGGGCCGCCATCCTCTGCGCTCCCGGTGCGGGGCGCCCAGACCAGTGTCCAGGCTTCCCCCTTCCCTCGGTGCCCCCGGGGCCCCGGGCCCCCGTCCTCTGCGCTCCCGGTGCGGGGCGCCCAGACCAGTGTCCAGGCTTCCCCCTTCCCTCGGTGCCCCGGGGCCCCGGGCCCCCGTCCTCTGCGCTCCCGGTGCGGGGCGCCCAGACCAGTGTCCAGGCTTCCCCCCTTCCCTCGGTGCTGCCCCTCCGGGCCGCCATCCTCCGCGCTCCCGGTGCGGGGCGCCCAGACCAGTGTCCAGGCTTCCCCCCTTCCCTCGGTGCTGCCCCCCCCCCGGCCGCCGTCCTCTGCGCTCCCGGTGCGGGGCGCCCAGACCAGTGTCCAGGCTTCCCCCCTTCCCTCGGTGCTGCCCCCCCCCCGGCCGCCGTCCTCTGCGCTCCCGGTGCGGGGCGCCCAGACCAGTGTCCAGGCTTCCCCCCTTCCCTCGGTGCTGCCCCTCCGGGCCCCCGTCCTCCGCGCTCCCGGTGCGGGGCGCCCAGACCAGTGTCCAGGCTTCCCCCCTTCCCTCGGTGCTGCCCCCCCCCCGGCCGCCGTCCTCTGCGCTCCCGGTGCGGGGCGCCCAGACCAGTGTCCAGGCTTCCCCCCTTCCCTCGGCGCCCCCGCCCCCGGGCCCCGGGCCGCCCGCCTGCAGGTGAGGTCCCCGCGCGCGAGCGGCGGCCGTGCCCCCGACTCTCGCTGTCCCCCGCAGGATGAAGAACCCCATGCTGGAGGCGCTGTCCCTGTTGCTGGAGAAGCTGCTGCTCCTCTCCAACCTCCGGCTCTTCAGTGCGGGCACCGCGGGCGAAGACCAGGCGAGGCGCGGCTTCTACGATACCAGCTCCTTCCTCCGCGGCGACGTGCTGGAAGTGCCCCGGACGCACCTGACCCACTACGGCATCTACCTGGGCGACAACCGAGTGGCGCACATGATGCCCGACATCCTGTTGGCCCTGACCGACGACACGGGGCTCACCCAGAAGGTGGTGTCCAACAAGCGTCTCATCCTGGGCGTCATTGGCAGGGTAGCGAGCATCCGCGTGGACACCGTGGAGGACTTCGCCTACGGAGCCGACATCCTGGTCAATCACCTGGACCAGTCCCTCAAGAAGAAGGCGCTGCTCAACGAAGAGGTGGCGCAGAGGGCCGAGAAGCTGCTGGGCATGACCTCCTACAGCCTCCTGTGGAATAACTGCGAGCACTTCGTGACCTACTGCAGGTTCGGCACCCCGGTCAGCCCCCAGGCCGACAAGGTACACGTGAGACTCGCCGGGGACTCGCCTTCCCCGTCCCTAGCCTTTTTCCATATACTCTGGAATCAGGGATTGAGCCCTGGAACAAGTAGCGAGCTCTCTGGTGTTCCTAAAAGAGGCTAAGTAAATAAAAGGCGTGGTTGTCCCCTGCAAGGTAACCTCGAAATGCACGGTCAGGAGTGTGGCGATGCAGCACCGCTGCCAGCGATTGCAAATCTACCCAGTTACTGCTGCCGAGGCCCTCAGGGTGTGCACCCGGTAGTCGAAACGACTAAAGAGCAGGTGGGGGTAACGGGGGTCTAGAGAAGCTCTGTCGCTGGGTGCTTGCAGATTTTCCCAAGAATTGCAACTGGAAGAAAGGCGCTCAGAGTTTGTATTTTATCTCTGACCTTGTGTACAAATTGCTGTGCCTTAAAAATTAAGGAATCAGGCAGGTTTCTCCGTCTGTTAGCTGTGGCCTGGATTCCCTTTGCTTACTTGAAACCTATCAAAATTCCCAGTACAAAGACCTCCCTGGTAGATCCCTTCTGGCTTCGGAGAAGTCATTTCCTTGATACTCTGAATTCTTTCCTTGCAGGCTTTAATCCCCATCTAGACTTCCTCATTGTTAGGCATCCTGTAACCATTAGCTCTAAAGGTGGGTTAGATTGTTTATGGGTTCCTCAGAGATCAGAACAATTGATTTTCAGGAAGATCCATTCAATGTTGTAATTTTTATGGGCCCTTAAAAAAAAAAACAGTATTAGCATTAAAGATGATTAAAGTTAGCCCCAAATCCAAAGGGGGGGGAGGGAATGGATTTTTTTTTTTTAATTTCCTTTTGAAACCTGCTCATTTAAAGATAGGCAACTTTTTAAGCCTGCAACTTCATTTGCATTTAGCTTTCTCAACCTTCCCTGTAGTTGTTAAAGAGGTTATTGTTAATGTTTACTCTCAATTGAAACCTGGGCCATCACCTAATAAGCTTCATGTTTTAGCCCTTAGATATTTTTCGGACCAAAAGAATGAGTCCATGCCACCAACGTTTTATTGCTCCACATCTTGATTAAATTTTTGACCCATATGGGAAAATCTTTGTCTCCTCTGTGGCAGAGCATACAAGTACCTTGCTTTTTACACATCGGTATATGGAACTCCTTATAGATTATTTATAGAGCCACAACAGACTCAATCTTGGAATTCTTTTCTAAGTAAAATAAAAATATAGTTAGATCAGTGTGCAGTGATTTAAGAATCACAGCCCCAGTCCAGGCCTGATTGGAAATGAACTTCACTACATTTACAAACACTAGCTCCAAAAGTATACAAAAAGGAAGCACGTCAGATTTATTTAGGAACCAAGCAAATGATTTCTCTAAGGAAAAACAGTATTTCTATCCCTAATTAGGAGTTACTCTTTCATGGAACACAGATGGCACCGTATTCTATATTTTGACCAAAACCAAAACAAAACCGTACGAGTGCTTTCCTTGAGGTAGTAAAATAGTTAATCTGCATAAATAACTAGCTGGAGTAGTTTTTCATCTTTGGAAACTTTGTAAGGTTTTACAGAAGGAGAGAAGTGTTTTAAATTGCTGTTGCTGCCTAGCACCTCTTGTGAAACTGAGTTTTTTGTCTTCACTTTGAATGATGTAACAAACAATTTGGCCAGAGTAGATTTCTCGGGGAAAAAAAAAAATCCCCATCCCAAATTTTCCAATTCTAAGAACTGTTTTTTTGAACATGCCTTCAGAGAAGTAGGTCATTAATACTGGAGGAGGGCTGATTCCTACTTTTCAGAGATGTAAGGAATGACTTGAATTGGGGTCTGATTGTTTAGTTCTCCATCTGTGTATACTATGGTAAACCTAACACTGAGAGTTGCAACCTTACTTAAATTCGAGTTTATAAACACTCTGAAGAGCACTTTCCCTCTTGAGAGCCCTACAACTAATTTGAAAATTAGTGGGAAGAAAACATTTTGCTTTTTTTTTGTAGCGTGAAGCTCTTTTTAACAAGTTTAGGAATCATAAAATTAAGGGCGCTTTATATTACTGTTAACAATTTCAGTGTTTTGTAAACTATAAAGACCTTTAATTACTATTACTCTGCCTTATGCTTTTTTTCAACTCTTTGTTTTTGTTATAGTTGCGGGTACTGCTTTTCATTGCCAAAAGAGGAATGCAAACATCCCTTTTAATTTGGGGGGTTTCAGTGCTCAAAAGGTGCCCCTACAGGCATCTTAACACCTTCTAGAAATGCAGGACATTCCCTCCTGTTGAGCATCACTGGAGATGCCTCCTGGGCTAATAATGGCCCACTGAACAAGAACAGAACAGTAGAAATAAGATGCTCCTTGAGAAAATCTTTTGGGGAAGGGATTCCACAATGATTCTCTGTTTTCCTTAATTAACAATTATTGGGGAAAAAGACAAAATAAGCACAATTGTACGAAGACAGCTTACTCATTTACCTGAATGTATAACTTCCCATTATTTGCCGAGCACCTTTTCTCATTATCCTGAAAACTCAATTTAGTTTGATCTTCACTACTTTAAGATGTTATGTTTAGGACTCAGTGTTGTTGTTTAGTAAAAAGGGACAAATCATCTGATTGATATGTAAGAAAAACAACATCTGGATAACTAACAGGAAGCTTTTTGTTTGTCTAGAAATTTTACAAAAGTTTGGGTAGAGACAACCTCACGGTCAAGATAGTGCATTAAAATATATTGGTCTTATATACTATGTGCACTTAGAAACTGAGGTGTCCAGGACCGTATAGGCCACTGTAGGAGACCATCAAAGCGTATACAATGTCATGTCTAGAAAAGGAGCTTAAAACTAGTAGGAGTAGCAAAAGTCCTATATTAAAAACAAAGCCGTTCATTGCTAAATTTTGCCCTGACAGTGAATAGGTAGAGATGATTATCAACAGATGTAGCAGTAATAATAGTCATTGTAATGCCTTACATTTATGCAGCATGTAGAAGAATACAGAGTACGTTTAAAGATTTCACTCGATCCTCCCAACAACCTTCTTCTTCTTTTTTTTTTTTTTTTAAAGATTTATTTATTTATTTATGATAGAGACAGAGAGAGACAGGCAGAAGGAGAAGCAGGCTCCATGCCAGGAGCCCGATGCGGGACTCGATCCCGGGACTCCAGGATCGCGCCCTGGGCCAAAGTCAGGTGCCAAACCGCTGAGCCCACCCAGGGATCCCCCCAACAACCTTCTTATTCCCATGGAAGAGAAGAGGGTAGTCTGGACAAGTTAAGTGATTTGCATGAGATTTACTCGAGCTAATAAGCGGTGAGCCAGAACTCAAACATAAGCCGTCAGTACTGAGTAAAATTAGTTTTTAAAGAGAAACAATTTCACACGTTAGAAGCATGCCTTCCTCAGGGGTACGGATCATATTTAATTTATCTTTATCCCCGGCAGCCAATTTTATGTCACAGAATTGATTGAATTTAATTTATTCAGGGAATGGGATAGGACAAAAAAAATTAGACTTTCTGTGCCTTTAGATTTAGAGACGTGGGAAGAAGGTTGTCATTGGTATCATCAGATTTTCAAATGATGGGTTATAGGAATTGAATTCACCAATAATAATAAGCTAAATTCTATCACTCACGATTAGAGATTCTTTTGCTTATATAATTTTAGATGTTATGGACAGTAGTTTATAGTTTTGACCTTTAATCCTGAATAACTCTTATGTGGTTACATTCTCTATAGTTTTCTATAAAAATTCTGCATTTACAAAGGCAGCTGCCATTATGAACTCAGTTGCCTAAAGCATCATTTCAGTTACTATGAGAAATGGAATCAAGGAACTGAACTATTCAATCTTCAGTTCTTTCCAAAGTCATCAGAGAAATACTAGTTTTTCTGTTAGACAGAAAATTGGTGAGAAAATTATGCTTTACTAGTTGGTACGTGTGATCCTTCTCAGGTTTAGCCATGTTTTCTAATATTCTTCAATTTTATTTTCCAGTTCTGTGAGAATGTGAAGATAATTATTCGTGATCAGAGAAGTGTTCTTGCTTCAGCAGTCTTGGGATTGGCATCTATAGTCTGTCTGGGCTTGGCATCATATACTACCCTTCCTGCAATTTTTATTCCATTCTTCTTATGGATGGCTGGCTAACTTCATATCTCCGTGTCAGTGTGTGTATTTTGTGTGTAAATATGTTTATATTTATAGAGCACAAGTTTAAGCATCGGTCGAGAAAGATGTGACCTGTAACACTGTGTCCTGGATAAAAGTGTGATTAAGAATCACTCAAAGTGCTTACTGTGTAAGCCCAAGAACAAAGGCTTTCTGAATCTTCTCAGGCAGTTCCATTTTAAAGCACTGTGCAAATCTTGGAAACATGACAACTTCTGATAGCATTCATCATTACAGGAGAACCAGCCCCTAAGATGATGGCCACAGGAGATTATTTGTTTGTTTTTTTCTCCTGTAATCATTGTTCTTCTCAGGCCTGAATTTGAAGATTAGAAGACTTACTGAATGAGACCACTAACTTCATTGTAAATTTATTCTGTTTCATTGGAAAACTTACATTAAACTAAACTAAATGATTTTCCCCTCGTTCAGATGAAAACATGTTTCATGATTGGCAAAAAAAGATTCAAAATCTTTTTTTTTCATGTATTATACATAATTCCCAATGAATCAAAAATATTTTCATTACTTGAAATCCTGTTGGCAAAGTTAGAGTTTAGTGATAAAGAAACTGACTAGAAGAACTATAGAAATCTGCATTTTCTTGCAGGAATACCTATTATAGCATCAGCTGAACAATTCCATTTGGCTTTACTTACTCAGAAGCCTGGCATTTGTTAATTTTTTTTTCTTTTATGTGTCACTCTGGTGCCGTTCGAGCACTCTGAGAGGCAAATGGATATAGGATTGAAGTAATTTGGATACTTGGAGTGTGTATGGGCCAATTAAATATGCAAGTGTCCACCTATACACAGACTGATGAGAGACAAATTAAGTTTGTACTTGATTGCTATGTTATAGTTACCAGAGAGCATTTGTAGAAGTGAATATAAAAATAAGCTTAGTCCGTTTTCTTATGACCTTTGCATCCATGGTATAACTTGCATATATATCATTGGATGGTTTACCTTTTAAAGCACTTACTAATGTATAATTTTTTAAAGTCCTCAGATTTGTCTTCTAATGGACTTCTTCATTTCATTGCATAGTTTCCATTCTTAAAAGAAGGATGCCACAAGGAAATAACTGTCAGAAGTAGGTTTTGAGTGTCTCCGTACCACCAGGCATGAAAATTGATTACACTGAGCCTGTCAAGAGTTGAGATGTTGCACTGTTAGAGCGAGCGTTCATGTACTTTTGCAGAATTACCAAACTTATAAAAACTAGGCCACAAGCTAGACTTGCATTTCCAGTATTAAAATTGCTTTATGAACTATCAGGAATCACAAAATAATGAGTCACCTAATGAGCGATACAGGGAGAGTGGAGTCATTTACCCAGTGATGCAATCAGAAGAAATTTAAGAGCAGATTTTAGCATAACTGATGTTTTGCTACCACTAATTTACAACAAATTCAGTTGGAGCTTAATAGTAATTGAACTTTGTGTTTAATCATTTAAATGTTTTAAGTTGTTAAAACATGAAATGGCAACACCAAAACATGAAATGGCATAAAGGTTCTTTGGGCCTATTCCAACCACTTAAAATTATCTTAAGTATGTGTACGTGAAAGCAAGCACTATGTGAACTGCATTGTATTAGAGGTTTTTCACTTACTATATATTACCTTTGTAGCACCTGTTTAAATAAATTGATTTTTTAAACATATGGTGTCCTCCTAAAATAACTACCTTTTTTGCAGGTTTTCAGTATTTCAGGTAGCAAAAAACACTGCCTGTTGTTAAATATGTGTTCAAAGGTACGATCTCTTATTAAATGCTAAGGGAAGTACTAAGGTTAGAATTAACATAATTAGTCCTACTTCATATCCTTAAAGTAAGATCCAATTCCTAGTTCATTTGAGTGCTCATTATATGCTAGACACTGACCTGTTGTGATTTCACGATCTCTAATTAATACTGTATACATTGATGTGTTCTACTATTTACAGGAAGAGGAAACTGGAAGGAAGGTTTTATTTATTCAGTATTCCACAACACTAGAATCTGTTGAACTTAGGACAAAGGAAAGTTTTGTTTTATTGTGCTCAGTTAGCAAGTTAGAAGCAGCATAGATCCCTGATTGTGGTCGTGGAAGAAACAGGTATTTCTGTGTCTCTAATGAAGGTCTCTGGGCTTCATTAACTAAGGTTCATCCTTAGGATTCTGCAAATCCCTTACAGTTCTAAATTTCCCTTCTAACTTGTGAAATGATAAGCAGTGTCTAACACAGCTTTTTGTTGCTTATGTTGTTGCCATATGTAGATGAAGGCCAAAGAACTAGCTGGGGCTGAGGTGAAATAATGTGTCAAGTACTGTGCAGGTACTAGGAATGAAAAGAAGAATGAGACCTGGGCCTCCGAGTTTGTGGCCTCATTGACATCGAAGCATTAAGACTACATAGCAGAGCGGATTTAAAGCACAGAAAATGACCTGGCTAGTTTTAACCGAGAAGGCCAAAATTATAGGGACTGTGTACTGAGACTTGGAAAAAACGGGATGTCTTCCAGGGGGACAGATTTAGGCAGGACATTCTACACATTGGGAACAGGATGAGCGAATGCAGGACAACTGTCTACAACATGCCTAGCACACAAGTTCGTTGACTATAGCATGAAACTGCATGGGGTAGTTAGGCAGAGGAAAGTGGTTCAGAGGTTAGTGTGGAGCAAGGGTGATGAGAGGTGTTGGAAAAGGAGAGCAATGATCAAGTGATGCAAGTTTTGTGTAGATCAAGAAGTTTGGACTTTATGAACTGGCAGTGGACGTTTGAGTTCAGAAAGGTAACTCCCCAAAGTACAGAGGAAGGATGGGGCATGGGGCAAGACAGGACAAGGGACTCTCCTAGAAGACTAGTTATGGCCCTTAATCTCTCAAAATAAGGGCCTATAATTGTGAGGGTGGAGAGCAAACATGTCAAGGAAGTGTCAGCAGACTAGCCAAATCCTATTTGACTCATGAGTAACTGTTGGTAGGGTGTCAGGGAGGCGTCGTGTATCCTTTCCTGCCAGAAAATTGGTTCCTGAAATATAACTTAATATGGTGATGTATGTATATTGGATAGTCCAGATCTTTGTTCTGCTGGTTATGCTTCTTCATAAGGACAAGCAAATAAGTACAGATTTGTTGTTTAAATTTTGTTTTTCAGAGAGATATTTCTACTTTTTCATTCTCTATTTCTACTATTACTGTCAAATATTTATAAAGATGTTTTTTAGTAATATCACAGTTATGTCAATGGCAAAGTCTTGTTATAGATGAAAAGCGTATAGGAAATGATGACTGCCAATATTGTGTTTTATATGATCTGTTTAGAGAATTTTACCTAACCTAGATCTGATACCCCAGCTAGTTTAAACTTGGTATATATGTGTATGAAATAAAATCAATTTTATATACTGTCCTCTCTTGTCTTTGAATTTGATATACATAAACATTTTTCTGAGCATGGTAGCCTGAAGAATTTTGTCTTTCAAGGCTTCCTTTCCTGAACATAGCTGGCTTTACATATTTGAAGTTAAAACTATGTGGATCTGCCTTCAGATTGACATGATCTATGTCATCTACATCTGGGAGCCTCCTTTGGTTATGGAGAAAAGGTTTCTGCATAATATTAAAAAGCAACTCTCCATTCCATAAAACCAAGCAGCTACAACACAGAGCCATGGGCATGAACTCAAACACTACCAAGGTGGCCTGCCGGTATACTCCGGCTATGGATCGAACTGGGAGGAAGCAAATCCCAGGGTCAGTCTTGAAATATACTTACTGCAAAGAACCGCAGAGGTTATTGAGCCATACTGTTAAACACCTAACCACATTTCAGACATGAAAAAGCAGGCACAGAGGTTGACATACTTTGTTATTTTACACAAATAATCACAGGCAGATCCACAATTTGACTCCAGCTTTCCTTCCTCTACGACATTGGCTTCCTGAAGTCTCTCATAAATTAGACAAGCTTTGGTCCAATTAATGTATTAATTTCTTGCAGACCCTTTGTGTATTCCAATCAGGGCCACAAAAGAATAAACTAGTTAGAATCTTAGTTCTGTGGTTCCTCAGTCTCATGAGAAGAAAGGCAAGTAAATAGATTTCAAAACAATAAGCTTGTACAAGTGTCAGAAGGGCAGAGACAAAACCTATAGCTGTCTGTAGGGGCCAGGAAAGGAGAGAGAAGAGAAACATGTTTTCAGTGATACCTTAATTGAGTTGTAAAGAATACAAACATTTGAAGTGAAAGACCTCCTTTTTCTAGGCCATTACAGGCACCTAGAGAAGTACAAAGGCACAGAGTCATGAGAACCCACATCACAGTGGGATCACTGCCAGTCCCTAAGAACAATTACTCTGTGTTTATATTGTTGCTTTGAGAGGAAGGGACCTATACTGTTCCACCATTCCTTTGAGGAAGACAACTCGGCTCAGGTGAAGTTAGAGACAAGAGGCAAGGTCATGGAGGACTTGACACTATAAAAGTCTCAAGGGGAAAGAAAGCACTTCCTAAACTTTCCAAGTACCTCAGGTGAGGCTTATGAGCATGTGGTTTGGTCAAACACATGATGAAGAGGGGTGGGATTAGGTTGTTAGGAAAAGAATCGTAAGGTTTATGGACAGAGGTTTATTTCAGGGGACATGGAGACATGGGAACTACAGGAATCAAAGGGTGAATGGTCACATCTCCCCCATCAGCTCACAACTACTTCCACCTTCCAACAACCCTGGTGCCATCCTCCTCTTGATTCTAGATTCTGTCCCAGATTCTTCATTCCACTGACCTTATAACTGCTACTACTATTGCTGCTCACTTACTGTTCTAACCTTCAGTGTATCATCACTTCTACTGCCTCATGGTTTTCTTTACACTTTGATTTTGTGTCACTTCTACTTCTCCACTCTGCTCGGCCTCTGTCTCTCATTTGAAAATTCCAAAGGGGGGGGAAAAAAGAAAGAAAATTCCAAAGGAACTAAGCTGACCAATTAGGCTGACCAGTCATTACACAATATTGGTAGTCATGACCAAAGTTCTCTGGCCAGGCTACCTCACGGTCATTGGTTCTTCTCATATCCTTTAGGTCTGTTCTCAGGTGACATCCCTGGGCCAATCAGTTGTTGCCAAGTTGCACAATGACATGCTCCAAGATATAGTGATCTGTTCTAAAGGGGCTACTTGTAACTGATTTTCTTTAGAAGATAGTTATCACTTTTAATTTAAAAAGAGTAACATCTCATTATCTTCATAGCTCATTCTGCAAGAATGTAGAGAATGGATTAGGTGAGGGATAACTCAAAGGACATAAATTCTATCACCAAACTGTAAGAGAAAGGATGAAGACTAGAAGTAATTCAATGGCAATGAGGATAGAGAAAAGAGAATGGATTGATTTGAGAGGTGAGAAGGAGGGGGTTTCATACAGGTTCGATGAAGAAAACAGAAACCATTCTAAGTCTTGCCGGGCAGGATGTGTGTGTGCACGTGTGTAATACCCCTAGTTTTCCCTTTCCTTTCACCCTCTAATCTCCCGTGAGGGCCTCACGTTGGCCAAATAAGCCAGAAACCAGCTGGCAGAGAGCCTGCCAGGAAAGGCAATAAATGCGTCGGCACCAGGATACATATAACTGGTTGTATATGACATACTGGCTAATTTAGGGGAGTCAACTTTGGGAGAAGTAGGACAAGCCTAGTTTGGGACATGTAAATTGGAGAAGCCTCGGGTCTCATAGATGGAAATGCAGGGTAGACAACTGGAAACTGGAGTCTCATGCTCAAGACAGAGCTCGGGTATGGGGACATATTTAGAAGTCATGACAGTTGATGCCAGGGATATGTATTAGACCATCCTAGAGAAGTCTGTGCAGAGTCTTACAGGGTGGAAGGATGTAAGATTAAAGTCACACACACACACACACACACACACACACACACACACACACACAAACAAGATGGAAGAAGAAAGATCAAGAACAGTTCTAGAAGAAGACTGAGGAATAATGGCACAAAGATTAGAACCGACCAAGGAGAGACTGTGTGGGGCCAGGAGGAGCGAGGTTTAGAAGCTAACAATCTGAATAGCACCAAGATATAGAAGAGAGATAGGGACTGAAGGGTGTTCACAGTGGATGTGACAAATAAGGAGACTGGCCTTGATGAATAAGCATCCCACTAATGTTAGGTAGGGGGGTATTAGGGAGGTTAGGGGAGAAGGCAGATTATGGGTTGAGATGGAAATGGAAAATGAGCGTGGGCTTCCTTTTGTAGTAGTTTGGTGGGAAAAGGAAATAAATAAAGCCCAAAGACTCAGAAAACAGTATAGTATCTGACATCTCTGTTTTCCCTTCGGCATTCTTTGCAAGGGAACATACTGGGAACTGCTTTATGCCTCACTTAAGAAGCATAAATCAAGTTAGTCTTCATAACTATTTTCAGACGGACACTCTTTGTGATAGTATCAGAAATGCAGTTTTCTTTCAGAGCAGTGATTTCTTTTAGAGGGCTAAGTCAAATCAATGAACATTCTCATTTCTATTGTCTTCTTTGAAAAGAACACATTCATTCAGATGGAAATCCTGATAAGGTTAGGGGAAGTGGAGAGGTGGAGAAACCATACTGCATGGACTCTAGAGTCCTGTGCTCTCCTCCAAACAACATATTGGGGGCAGTCTATTACCATTTCTTCTCTTTCACAGAATGATGGAGAGATCAAGACGTAGTGCAAGACTCAGATTCAAATGCTATTGGAATTTTGGGGGGCATCATTACCTCATAAGTACTTCAGATTCTCTACAATTAAAATAGTCATAAAAATTATAATGGAAGATTAAACTAATCCATTAAATTAGCGCTAACATGTTCAACCAATATTACATAAAATAATGGTTTCTTATCCTTCAGTCTATATTGACCTCAACATACGCAGAATTTTGAGATAATTTGATCTGCTACTTGTCTGAATCACTTATTCTTTGAAGAAGACTGTGTTACTATTCCTGAGTAAATCTTCTTGTTTATACGGAATCAAACAATGAGCTGAAACTCCAAAATCTATCAGATGAACAATCCTTGTCTGCTAAGCCTGGCTCCGTCTGTGGCTGAGCCCGAAGGATCTGCTCAAGCAGAAGAACAAGAGCTTTAAGCTCCATGTTGGTCCAGACACCTGTTCTGACCAGGTGCCTCACTGCTGGGTGGAAACCAAAAATGTAGCAATCGCTACATGCTTGAGCAACATCAAGATTCATTTCCTCTTCGAGACTCCTCAATTCAGCTCCACACTCCACCATTGCACGCGCATCTCTCTCCACTTCACCTCTGGTAAATCACAGACAAGTGACTGTCAGGGAATTTATTAACAGTGGCAAATTCTCTTTGTTTCATGCTTCATCTGATTCTTCCTGGATAAGGCCTTCAACTGACAATAACATTTGCCACAATTATCTTAAAAGCTCTAAAGGAACTGAAGCTGTGAGACGGGAGAAAATCTGAAAATCAGGAGGATGAAGAGAATGGCTATAGAGCACCAGAACAGTCGGGGACTAGTTCCTCAGGAGGTGAGGAGCCACTCCATCCCCGCTTCTCTTTGTGGGTGCTGTGGGAACTACCCCTCCTTCTGTAGCTCAGATTTCTCTACTTTGCTGACGCTCATTCCCATGACCACTCTGAAACCAAGTGTTATGGATATCTTCTCTCAGAAGAGATTTTGAGAAAATGTGCTTTTTGCATTTATTCTATACACACCTCAGCAATAGGTGGAGAAACCAACAAGAAGACTTTCTTTTAGAGCAGTGATTCTCTAAATATGGCCCTTTACTTGGTTTTCATGCCAGGTCTCAAACTGCTCCCCCCCACCCCACCCCCGCCCCACTCCAGGTAGGCCCATCCATTGGTCTGTGCTAGAAAGTGGGAATGGATGGGATTGATGAGCTGCAGTCTTTGTCTTCTTATGAGGCAGATATAAAAGCTTAAGTCATTGTGGGAGAGGGCTGCGTGGCTTGAATGGACACGAACTAGAAGAGCTGTAATCTTGGCTTCACGTGAGCATTTGGAAGTTTACCCGCTTGCAATGTCCTTAAGTATAATTAAGTATAATTTGTAAATTTGCTGTTTTCCTTTTAATCTTTTATTATTATTATTATTGTTATTATTATTTATTTTTGCTTAGGGATATATGAGTCCATTTTCAATCTTGGAACTTCATCTTTATTTTTTTTATATGAAAGGCAACTAGGGTGCCTGGGTGGCTCAGTCGGTTAAGTGTCTGCCTTCAGCTCAGGTCATGATCTCAGGGTCCTGGGATCGAGCCCCACATCAGGCTCCCTGCTCGGTGGGGAGTCTTCTTCTCCCTCCCTATCTGCTCCTCCTCCCAGCTTATGTTCACTCATGCTCTCTCTCTCAAATAGTTTTTTTTTTTTTTTTAAAGCAACAAGGTGTTCATCTTTCCATCACGTCTAGGCACTACAGCTCTCAGTGGCTTCACCTGCTCATCTGGACTTTTCAATGCCAGGTGAACTGATGCAACATGCACAAGGGACACTCAGCAAGAGACCAGAACATGAAAGCTTTAAGACTGATCTAAGTAGTATGTTGAAACTATGGAATGTCACCACATCTGTGCCAAGCTGATTAATAGTCAGACTGCCTCCAAGAGGCAATTGACTAATGTTGAACATCATTCACAACATGTGCTTCTAAGTCACCACGTTAGGATGTGCTCCTCAGTACACATTTTTCCTGATATGAGGGAGACATGGTAGGGTCAGGGAGGTCTCTCCTGAGTACCTGGAATCTGTGGGGCTGAGTTACCAACCACTCCACATTTGTACTTATGGGCTTGGGATACCAACTACTTTTTGGCAGGGCAAAGGAGCCAACTCATTCCCATGGCAGAGAATTCAGATTCTGCCGCATTCCTCTCATTCTGCTCACTTGTATTGCGTATCCATTATATAGTAGTCACTGAACTTGGTAACAGGGCTACAGAGGTGAGAGAGAAAAGTCGTCACTCTCAATGAGCAGGTATATTGTGACCACAATTTTAGAAGTATCCAAGTTGAAAGTAGCTTTGGAAAATATCATTTTCTCATTTATTATTTTATATAAAGTACTGTCATGCACATTTGCTTATTTAATAACTATTATCCCATAAAGGAGACACTGGGCCTATAAACATTAAATGACTTGGTTTTTAACCACAATGGTTGTTATTCTCATTTTATAGTCCAGGAACTTGAGGCTAAGCAGGTTCAATGTTCATGATCCTGCAGTCAGCAATGTGGTATCAGGACTCAAGCCTTGGTACTTTTTACTCTAAATTCTGTATCATTATCAAAGGCCCAAACTGTGGGCAACCAAGTAAATGAAGTCATCAATTTCTTTCCAAGATCATATTGTTGCAGCCAGCCAATGTCTTGTCATGAGAAGGCACACTTACTTGCCCAGTCTTTACCTGTGCTTTTTGGCTGTACACCTTAAAGTTCAAAATAATGTAACAGGTCTTAAGGTCTTAAATCCTTACAAGAAAGTGATATGGAAAGGTAAGGTGGTCCCTGTCCCTGGGATCGGAAAGTTTAGCTAATACAGCTAATGTCTGGTTTCAGTCCTGTTAAGGAACACAAACTGTACCCAGTTACACCAGATACTGTGCATGTTCAGCAGCTCTCTGATGTGTACAGTACAGAGTTTATAAGCTGACACCATGGTGAGCACCCTAAATTCCACAGTGAGCTGTTTACAAGGCAACTTCCTTTTGTGAAGCAATGCCAAGACAGATAAAACAAAAGCCTGTAATAATAACAACAGGTGTGTCCCTCTACCATCCATTTGTTGGTAAACACACAGATATACAGTTCCTTAAACTGCACATCTTGTTATTTGGGATTTAGTATTCCAGCAATGAGATTCACATTCGAAATAATAGCCTGGGAACTCAACTGGTGAATATCGAAAAGCTAGGAAACGGGGGTGGCAAAGGAACCATCCTGCCTCTCTACCAGGGAGGAATAGTGAAAATCCTTCTTAGGAGGTTTATGGTGAGGAGTAGACTCACAAGTAATACCAGGCCCTGGGTTACAGAATGGAGGACATTACATACACGTGTGATATATGTAATACTGTTGATTCAGCTGTAATCTGTCTTGGCCATTTTCTGAGGCAATCTGGATTGATTATTGGCCTTAGTTCTAAACATTTTTCCTCCAGTCTCTCTTCTTATGAACCAGGCCCTAGAATCCCTGCCGACAGCCCACTGAATGCACAAGTCAGAGGTGACAGGTCTGAAGGGTGAGGCCCTAGAGGAAATTAGCCTAGGAGATGGACATGTAACAGAAGGCAAAGTGGGAGACAGGTTCAGGATGGCAGCTGTCGGAAGGCCACAGGATTGGCCTGGTTCATAAGTATAGGCCTCCCAACCTCATGTGGTCCCATGGGCACCTATTAAGTTCCAGACCGAATGTTTGCAGCAGCGTGAGGAAATAAACAGAAAGCCTACACTGGAGGTGACCTAGTGGATGCAGCCCCCCTTATTCATGACTCTAAAATGGGTCCAGGCCCATTCAAGAGGCTAAGATGACCCAAACGCCACAGGTTGCAGGCTTGTAATCAATGCATTTGCTTCATCGACAGCTGGCTTGTCAGGCTTCTGAATTAAACCATAGGCTCTTTTCAAGTGTTTCTGAGTGTCTGGCATGGTGCCCAATAAATTCTAGAAAATGAATATGATTTCACTGTCTCTCACAGTTTTTTGGTTTTGGTTTTGGATTGTTTTGTTTGTTTCTTACAGACAGTCAGCCAAAGGAAGAACATTCTCTCATTTTTAGGTCCTCAGCACTCTCACATTCAAACATCTAACCAGTCATCCTCTGATTCTTTTGATTCTTTTTCTTTTTACTTTCTTCCTTTCAACAAGTATACACTGACTACTTGAGGGAGAGGTACTTTATGTGCTATGGCTGTGGGTGATGAGGCCCTGGGTCTTCCTTACCAGCAGAAGGCCAAGGGTGGCTCTGTATTGCTGCTTATAATCTTGTGCCTGACAGTGTTCATGGGGATATTATTCAGGCTGTGATTTATGGGCATAAGCCTGGCACTAATCACCACGTGTTGTAAATCTCTCGTTTAATCCTTTTTTTTTTTTAAATTTCCATTTATTTATGATAGTCACACAGAGAGAGAGAGAGAGGCAGAGACATAGGCAGAGGGAGAAGCAGGCTCCATGCACCGGGAGCCCGACGTGGGATTCGATCCTGAGTCTCCAGGATTGCGCCCTGGGCCAAAGGCAGGCGCTAAACCGCTGCGCCACCCAGGGATCCCTAATCCTTTTTTTATCTCTGTAGAACATCTCATGTCATAGTTTAACATCTTCATTCTTAGGACTTGGTTTAAGGTTGGTTTAAGGCACAAATGGTCTTTCTTTCTCCATCTTGCTAAATTTCTTCTGTTGCCCAGACAACTAACTTATAAAAAAAAAAAAAAAGAGTTTTGACAGTGCACCAAGTGGAAGTGTTTTCTTGGCTGGATCTGAGAGCACCACTGCTCCCCCAAGTGTGGGCCTGCTGCCCACCTTGCTGCTGCAGCAGGCACACCTGTCAGTGCCGTGCATGGGCTTGCAGGTTGGCTACATGACGGGTTCCTTTAACCACCCTTGATATTTGCGAAACAACCTGTTCTGTCTTGCAAGTTTTCCTGTTTGTCCACCATCCCATCTCTGGGAGATTGTCAAAATAATCGTATTTCTAGATTTAATAGGAATAATGTTTATGCATACCAGAAATGCTGGTTTTGTTTAACCCTTTAATTTTTCTGTTGTTTCATAAACATTATCACATTTATTTGTGATTCCTCACCGTACCTTCACTCCCAGCCCCCTCCCCCTCCCCGCCACTGATTCTGTTCAGTCTTTGTCAGGGATCCTCTGTGATAAAAATGGAAAGATCTGGCTTTGATTCTTGCTCCCGACCAGCCGAGAGTCTTTGGCAGACTATCTCATTTTTAATTTTCTGCAGTATAAATGGGGGACGATATTCCTTCTCAAGATTATTGTGAAGGTTAAAGAATGTCGAGCCTTTCGCTGGGCTGGGAACATAGATGTGCTTACTAAGTGGTAACCAGGAGGCTGCGGTGAGTATTGCCTCTTCCATGCACTAAGCCGTATTTCTGAGCTTAGGCTCCCTTGATGGGACCTATACACCGATTCTTTCTCTTAATGTTTACCAAAGGGATTCTCTGCACTCAGCCTCTGCTCTGCAACTTTAGCTCTCAGAAGCAAAGCAGCTGTTTGGCTCTCCTGCTGTGGAGCTTTTGTGGAGCAGGGTCTGGCCAGGGTGAGGTTTCTATGCTGGCAGAGTGGTCAGGCTCCAAGGTCCCCAGATGGTTGTTTAGGCGGTCTGGCCATTCCAATGATGTGACCCAGCTGCTGACCTCTTGGAAATACCAGCAGTGGCCAGGGTGGCCTGGCTTACAGCAACTGGATGTGCTGGCTCCCTTAAAGCGTAGACTTCATGAAGAGAAAGGGCTACTGCCAGTGAAAAGTTTTTTTTTTATGTGAATCTGGGTA